CATATTATGTATGTATATACATATTTGGAAAGTCTTATTGGAACACCCAAACCAAAACCAAACTCACTACCATCACCTTTTTGAGACTACAAATCTTTATGGGACTTGACTGTCGATTCTCCAGCTTTTCTTCCATGGAGTTGTTGATGGTGTGAAAGGAGTGAACGCAACATGAGAGTGGCCAAGTCTGACTTCTGCCTGCTTCATAAAGAGGAACTGTCCCCGTCCATAATACCCATAGCAGCAAATAGACAGCTGTTCCATCAGACATGCCATCCCCCTCCTATTTCCACCAGTAATATAGGTTTGATATTTATTGTTGATTCATAGACTTTACTCACAGTTGTGGTACCAAGAGTGGGGTTTAGTAGGGAAATAGGCTTGGGAATAGGGGAGGCAAAGAGTATCTCACAATGCAAGTATAGGTTTAGTCCAGAAGTCCCAAGCTAGATTAACAGTAAAACACAATTCCTTTATTATCATGATTTCAGTTCAGCAACACAAACCCAAATCATCCAGCAAAGTTTGCATAAAAACAGTTATATGCCAGCCTCTCTTTTAATCATCTGGCAAGAACAACAAGGCCTTTAACTGTGGCAAGCACAAATTCAGGAAGCCTCAGATTACACCTTGCCACAGTCTTTCCACAGCAGTGCCAAAGTCTCTCCACAATTTCTGCACTGCCATTGTCACTGGGGTCTTACTCTAAGCAGTGTCTTGCTCTGTCTCACTCTCACTATGTTTCACTCTACAGTGTGGGAAGCACTCTCTCTCTTAGTCAGCTATTGATGATTTGCAAGACCATGTGTCCATAGTTAAGGTAGTTGGAGACCAGCAGGGGCTATCCTGGGTAGAAAAACTAACTTTTAAACTAACACTATAGGTAGATTCGAACCACTGACTTGTTTAGCAGCCCAACACTCAATGCACTGTGTATAGAAACACAACCACACTAAATCATTTCCCTATTGTCTGTAGCTATTTTAGTGTTAAGGCATCAGAGTTTAGAAATTGCAGCAAATGTCTTGGCTTGTAAAGCTGGAAATAAGTGCTGTCAGGCCTTCTACAGGAAGAGATTGTTTATTTTTGTATCCTAGTCATTTTTAAATTGTAACTTAAGTGAAGGTTTACAAAGCAAACTGATTTTTCATACAACAGTTCATATGCGTTTTGTCTTGTTTATTTGCAGTACCCACAATGCAATATCACTTTTCCCACTTCTACTCTGTGATTCTCATGTCGATCACTCTTTCTAGTCTATGTCTTCATACTTTCAGGGATTTATCCTTGGACAAATGTTGGGTTTTTTGAAATTTTATCTTGGTTTGCATACGAAATTAATAAACATTATGTTTTACACTTTCCTTAATTCACATTGTGTTTCATTCCCACACATTGTGTTTTATATATAAAAAAATGCTCTTTTGACCCTACACGTTGGCTTGTGTAAGGAATGAGTACTTCATCATTCACCTTTTACAAAACACAAATAAGCACATATATTGCAGCTATTTTTGAGGATGTTCAAGATACAGAAAAGGATAAAAATCCTTAAAATGATTTCCTGTTCATTTTAGATTGAAATAAAATGAGTCAAGTGTATGGCATTCTGTCCACAAAATGTCATGTGAAAAAGTTACCAGGGAAAAAAAAGCAGCAATATTATACTTTTGCTTTAAGATATTTTTAAAGTAAGTGAACGTCTTGACTTAAACAAAACCAATACTTCAAATCTTTTTATTTATATAAAATACTTCTGGGAAAGTTACTAAACATGATAGTCATTTCATAAAAGTAACAGTTCAACTAAAAAACATTCAATACAGGTTGTCTTAAACACTCCAGGAATTTGATTGATTGATTGATACAAGGATTGATTTTATTCCTCTCTTTGTTCCCCAAACACTTTGATGTAATAGAAATTTGATTTATTCTTCAGAAATTTCAATTTACACACACGTTTTCAGAAGGATTTCTATTATGTTGAAGTGCAACATAATGGTCCTATATATAAGCTTTTTCAAAGAAATTTAGAGACTTCCAAATGTAAGAATTATTCTTTTGGCTTTTTAATTCAAAGCTACATGCTGTTATAGAATATAAAAGCCATAGTAGGGCTATCCTTTTAACTTCTGGTTGAAAGCCAGATACACTTTTGTTTGAAGTTACATGGCTTTGTTACAAATAAATGGCATAAAAAGTGCTTTCTCTATTTTGTTGCGATTCATCTTTGTATTTTCAGAAGCATGAATTTGTTCTATTTTCCTCCTTGTTTGTTTGCTTCCCAGGTCTAGTGTAGTGCCAATTTTACATCTAGAATTTTTCAGGGGGCAAGGATATAGAAGAGGATAGAAACCAGGTATACAAGAATAAATTAAAAGAAGAAATACGAGGGCATTCAAGAATTCTTGCACTCATTCCTTATCCTATGGTTGCTAAGACATGCATGTTTCTTCAGAGTGTATCATTTCAATATCATTGATTTATTTTTAATAGGATACATTACAATATATTTTCATTTCTTGCATGTACATTAAACTAAAGGCCAGAAGAAGTTGCCTGGCACTTCTAAACCATCACCTCTAAAGAATACTGCTCTCCCCAATATGTGATGCTTCCTAACTTGCATAATGTTTCCATAGATTCACTTTGTTTTTCCCATATATGGAATATATTCTATTCCTTTAAATAGGAAATATATAAATATAAAATAGGAGTGGTGATATTAAGTAAAAAAAAAATTCTGCCATAATGTACACTATTTGTATAAAAGTACAGTAGCATGTGGTCAATAGGAACTTACAGAGTTTGAATAAAGAAGGTGATTGAGTAGCCATTTAGAGTCCCCCCTCCCCCATCTCCCTGGCAATACTGAACTTCAGACACTGTGATCAAAGTGTTGTTTATTTAAAAAATAAAGCATGAAAGAAAAGATGCTGTCAAGCTGTTTCCAACTCATGGTGGCCAGAATGTCGCAGTGCAAGACCTACATTCCCTTTGGGATTACAGGGCTGTCCATTTTCAGGAGCAGATCAATAGTCCTTTTCCCCCCCAGGGACCTTTTGGGTCATTCTAACTGCCAGCCTTTTTGGGTTAGTCAAAATAAACTCAAACTCGCTACCATAGAGTCAATTTTTACTCACAGTGACACTCCCTCTTGGTTTCTGAGGCTGTGACTTTTAACAAGAGAAGATGTGTCATCTTTCTCCAGTGGATTCGAAGACCAGAGACAGTTGACCTTTTGAGGCTCAACACTACTGACTACCCCACAAGAGCTGATCTTGTGGTAAGGAGTTGTGCCACGAACCCCAAAGCACACAGTTCAAATCCACTTGCATCTCTGTGGAAGAAAGATGGGCAGCCTCCTCCTGTGTGATTTCTTGCCTCTGAAACCCCCCTGGAGGGTCAACTATGAGTTGGTTCCGACTTGACAGTACAGAACAACAAATCTATGCTTCACCACTTGCATCACTCTAGGGTGATAAGAGCCACAGTAAAAGCAGAATGAAATCAAAGAGGGAAACAAAGGACAAGTAAAGAGTTGCATTGCCAACCCAAAGGCACATGGTTCAAATCTACAAGTTGCTTCATGAGAGTAGGATGGGTAGTCTCCTCCCATGCAATTTATTGCCTCTGGAAACCCATTAGAAGGTCAGCTATGAGTTGGTTCAGACTCAATGGTACTTTGCAACAACACTTTGCTGGGGGAACAGCTTTGGTAAGAGTGTCTTTTTGTTGTTGCTGAGTACCATGAAGTCTAAACATAGCTAACGCTCTAGCAAGTTTCAAAGACAATAAATCACATGGAAGGAGATTGCCCATTTTTCTCCCACGGAGCAGCTGGTGGATTCAAACTATGTACTGTTGAGTTGGCAGCTCTATTTGTTACCACTTGTTTTTGGTTTTGGGCTTTTTTTTTTCCTTTTCTTAAGTGGAAGCCTTTCCAAAAAGGGCAGCAATGAAAAAGAATACACTACTTCTGCTGCATGCAACAGCATGGATAAATATGACAGACATAACTAGACAAAATAAATACCGCAGACTTAAAAGCCAGAAAGAAAAGAGTACATACTGGATGGTGTAATGTTCAAGCACAGGCAAAACTAATCTGTGATGAGAGCATGCATGGGAGATGGTTATTGACTGAGAAAGAGCACGAGGGAACTTTCTGGGTGCTATAAATTTTCTATCTTAACTATCTTAAATCTGGGTGATAGCACAGTGGTTGCAGACTTTGGCTGCTGATCAAAAGGTTGGCTGTTCAAATCCAACAGTGACTCTGAAGGAGAAAGATGAGACTGTCAGCTTCTAGAAAGATTTCAGTATCAGAAACCCCATGGGCAGTTCTTTGTCCTCTAGGAGTCAAGATCAACCCAGAGGCAGTGGGTTTGGTTTTTTGGTTTTGAATCTAAATGATGGTTGCAAAAGGTGGCCTGGTGTCATAGGGTTTGTTGACTGCTCACTGAAAAGTCAGCAGTTCAAGTCTACCAGACACTCCATGGTTGAAAGATGACAGTCTTCTCCCATAAAAAGTTTACAGCCATTGGACGACCAGTGGATGATTGCTGTGAGTTGGAACGAACTTGACAGTAGTGTATTTGGGTTTTTGTTTGGTTACATGGATGTATAATTATATATACATATTCAGCAACTTCTCAACTTTTTATACTTAAGATTTGTGAACTTTATATATGCTGCAGCTCAATAAAAAATTAAATAACGATGAAAATAGGTCACAAAGTGGGCACTAGATATAGCATGAAGGCTTAATAGAGTCCTTGGGAGAAAACCTGGTATATTCTTAGTTTTTTAAAAAAATACCCCCCAACCAACTTAATGTTACTCTTAGCATAGGAGCCTTGGTCTGGACAAGATCAGTTCTAGTAATTGCTGATACAAAACATTTTCACTGTTTTGCCTAGCATGCGATACAATCAAGCCCTGTTGGTTCTTGGATGACTTACTCGCTCAAAAGCAATGATTTTCTTTTCTCTTTCCAGATTGGCAGATTGCTACTCTCGCTTTACTCTTGGGTGGTGCTGCCATCATTCTTATTGCATTCCTGGTGGGTTTGATTTCTATCTGCGTGGGCTCTCGGAGACGCTTCTACAGACCTGTTGCTGTCATGCTTTTTGCAGCAGGTAAATAGATTCATTACTTTCAAACCAATATTAAAGTTTCATGAACCTTTCTACAGCCTCCCTTCACATGCCGAAGCAGTGTGTGGTTGCTGCGTTACATACAAATTGAGAGCTATTTCTTGTACTTTATGGTGAATTGGTTAAAGGTTGATCATATTATCAGTTTTCAGCATGTTAAGCATTTTATCCAGTGCAGCGGCAACTTCTAAACTTCTAAATAAAACATGAATATATAATACTTCCTGACAGTGCTGTTGCCTTAGTAATTGAAGCAGATGTATTTTCCCCGTCTTTCTTCTTATCCGGTTCCACCCCCCCCCGTTTATCACCCCCTTGGTTGCATTAAGGCAATGCGATTTTTTTCTGACACAAAATAATAAAACATCTGAACACCCTTAAAGGTATAAATCTGTTTGAAAATAAACATGATTGTGCTGAAAAACCATGACATACAACTTGAACCACCAGACTAGTCAATGGAATGCGGTTCATGAATATTCATTAGATTGACAATCATCATTCCATGAAGTACAGTCTGGATTAAAATATCAACACAGTAAAATGGCAGTTTTACTAAAAAGTCAGAGAGCTATTTAGAAAGCAGCTTACAGACTAAAAAGCCTCGGCACATTATTTGATGTACGTTTTAATTTTCACTTATAAGAATATCTTTCAATATATTGTTCTTTTGACTCAAACTAAAATATTCTTGTGGTGCCTTCAATTTACCCTGTCAGTTATATCAGATTTGAAGCCTGCAAAATAAGCTATTGCAACTGTCAGTATTGAAGACACTGACAGAACCATCTAAACTGTTAGATGGATTTTTTTAAAAAGCTGTTTAAAGATAGGAATAGATGAAATATCTCTGAATTTGAACTATACGTATCAAATCAGAAGTGGTCTGATTGCCAGTGCTGCTGCTGTTTATATAATCTCTCCAGAATGCAGATGCCATGAAAACAAAGGTCCAAAGGGCTAAAGCAATCCAGAAATACAGTTAATTCAAATCCAGGCAGTGACTAGCTCACAATTAATAGTTGCCAGGCAGAGGATTTTGACTCATGATAAGTCTATGTGATTCAGAATAGGAGCACACTTTTTGGGAGTTTTATAGCAGTGATCTTTTGAGAGTAGGTTGCCAAGCCTTTATTCCAAGATATCTCTGGGTGGATTCAAACTGTCAGTCTTTTTGGTTAGTACAGCTTAATTGGTTGTATCACCCAGGAATTCCTCTTGGAAGATTACATAGCAGTTACTAATATCCTTAAGGTCTGAGAAATGACTAACTAATTTTTATGGCCTATAATCAGTAGTGGTTTATTAACTAGTAATGCCATCACTATGGGACAGAGTCCCTCTCTCCATTGTTCAGTTACCTAAGTAGCAAGACAATCCTCAAAGAGATGGATTGACACAGTGACTGAAGCAATGGGTTCAAGTATATCAGAGATAATAAGGATGACACAGAATAGGTCGGAGTTCAGGTCTGTTGTTCATAGGGTCACTATGAATCATGCTCACTTCAGAGGCCCCTAACAACAGCAGCAACCATAACATATATCAGGTCTTGTACAACTGCTCATAGTATCCCCGCAGGTACTTTCTAATAGAATAGAAGACACTATTCCAAAAATAGTTTAAGCCCTAGGCAGTGACATTCTTTTCTTGATCTCATGCATAATAAAATTTTCAAATACGACTTAATAGAACACAAAAATTCCCCTAAAGAGTTCATCACTATTCTCTAGTTTACTTCTTGCCTATGGCTTCACAGCTCTTTTACTAACTTTAAAAATGAAATAACAAGCACATTAATTGTAATATATTTTTGTCTTTCAGCTAGAATTTATTTACTAACATGGTGTTATTGTTATTATGGGCAAAGGAATCAGAATTGACTCATAGCTGACCTTCCAGTGGGTTTTCAGGAGCAGTAAATCACATGGGCTATTGTCTTTCTCTCATGGAGTAGCTGGTGGATTTGAACCATGAACTTTTGGGATAGGATCCCAGCTCCTTACCACTAAACTACTAGAGCACCCTACTAACATAGATATTAGATAATAAATTCTAATTAAATTTATTAGTAAGTTGTTCTCATGTGATATTTCATTCTTTAAAACTGGAATGATATCTTTAATAGTAATTGTGTCAATTATGTTGACGTTTCTCATATTAAGGAGGTATAGAAATATACTACTTATATTCTACTATGAATATAATATTATATTATGAATTCTATTGTGAATATCCAATATTATTGTATATAAATAGTTACTAGAACATTTAGCCTTTAATGTACTACCTAATATCACGTGCAGTATCTATACAGAAATTCATTATGTATATTATAAGCATGCTTTGAATAATAAGTGGACTTTTCTAGTTTTCTTAGGAAAAAAGAAAAAAACTATTTTTTCCAAGGTTAATTTTATATGTATATACTGAAAAAGAAAATATATTGCCAGTGAATACAGTTAAAGGAAATGAGTTTGGCCGAAATAAAGCTTTTTATTTCACTACTACAAATGTTAGTAAATTTGAAAATAATGAAAGGAACCTCTGGAGAAAAGTCCATATAGCGTTGCTCTGTTTGTTGAGACTTCAAATGAATACTATAATGCTACATTTTAAAACATGTGTTGAGCTTAATTTTACTCATTTGTTTTTAAAATTCAGATTTTGGAAGCTTTTCTTGAAATAACTGTTAGTTTAGTGTTTACTTTGCATATAAGCAAGTCTGTTTAGTGATTATTTGCAGCATGTCCAGAAGTAGATTCTTCTATTTATAACAACCATTTGCAGCCGATTGCTAGAAAAGATAGTGAGTGCACATACTATGTATTATTAATTTGGCCAGTAGATGGTCAAAATATTAAAATCCACCTACTTGAAATGAAGTTATGCTTGTTTGTTTTGCTTCTTAGTAAATATGTTTGTTCAAATGGCTGGCCTGTTGCAATTGTCATTTATTTCAGTGAGTACTTGTAAATTGTTAAGAATGGTCTACAATTCTCCTCTCTTAAAATAATTTTTCCTCCAATATTATTTAGCCTGTGACAACAAGGAATGTTTTCACATAGAAAATGATAGCTACTTCAACAAGGAAATAATCTTGCTTTCCTTCTGATATGTAGTACATAAAATCAAAACAGACACTTAAAAAAATATTTCTACCCAGGGCTACAGACTCACACAGCTAATTAATTCAGCACCGTGTGCTGTATTTGGCACTCTTACAAATTCAATAAATAGTTGTGGAATGAATGATGGAAAGATGACTAAGGCATGTGGCTCATAATCTGGTTGGAGAAAAACATGCATGTAAACAATTAGCATTCAATATTTCTTAAACCATGTCTGTTTTGGGGATTTATAAGCAAGTTTAATGTCACCACAAAGCTATGGTGAAACAGCCTTTAAAAGTAACAGTCATGGGGGGTGGAAAACCCTAAAGAAACAAAAAAAATGTGACAGTCATGAAAACAGTGTTATTATTTGGATGCTAAGTAATATAAAGGGGTGGTCCCCCTACTCCAAAAATCTCATTATTAACTCCCATAAAATCTGCTGGGTTTTTTTTTTTTTGTTAAACTTTCTGAGTATCTGCTTGTTACCTGTTTGAAGAACTGAGAGATCGCTGTGGCATATCTAAAATTGTTCTGTGTCCCAGAAACTTTTTCAGCTACAGCCCTGGCCTCGACCTCAGAATCAGCTGTTATTGATAATAGTAATACTGATAATCCAGTACCTACATCATGTCACATTGCTCCACACTTGAAATGCCAGTAACATGTTTCAATTGAGTTGACCCTGAGTCCTGGTGACCTCATAAGTGTCAAAGCAGAACTGTCTTCCATAGGATTTTCAGCAGCTTTTTTTGGAAGTAGATTGTCAGGCCTTTTCTATAAGACATCTCTGGGCATATAAAAACGATCATACTTTTACTCAAGAGCATTATCTCTTTGTACCACCCAGGTACTAACTCCACTTGATGTATCTTTTTTGATATAACATCTTAAAGTTAGGTAATACTTTTCTTCATTTTATGGACAAAGAAATTGTTTCCAAAAGGCTAAGCAATGTGCCAAAGTTTACATAACAACTAAGTTGCAGAGTCAGAGTTTCAGGGTGCCTGACTTGAACGTTGGGAATATAAATTCACTATTCGTTCTTACCTAAGAGTGTCTGGGTGGCACAAATAGAGGGGCCTCGGAAGAAAGACCATCTGCTTCTGAAAGGTCACATCCTTGAAAATTCTATGGAACATCATTCTCTTCTGCACACTTGGAATTGATGCAAAGGCAGCTAAAAACAACAGATAGTATATGTAAAAAAACTGACCCAGAATCAGCTTTGATTTTCAATGTAATACCCTATTGTGCACTGCATTCAGAGTCAATCCTGTTATTCTAGTTATTCCATTTCTTAGAGAAACACCTGAAAGAAAGCTGCAACTTGAGATTCCATAAAGACCATAAAGTGATGAGTGCAGAATTGCTAGACCATAGCAAAAAGTGAAAGCTGTAGACATTCTGAATACCATTGGCCACAACATATTTCTTACTGTTTCCGTTGCAGTAATGGGTAAAATGTGATTCTGATAACCGGCATCCGGTTCATTTTCACTAACTCTGCTCAACTCATTGCTATCAAGTTGGAACTGACTTATAGCTGACCCTCCAGTGAATTTTCAGAGGCTGTAAATCACACAGGAGGAGATTGCCTTGCTTTTGCACCTCTGAGTAGCTAGTGGATTCATACAACCTGCTTTTGGGTTGGCAGTGCAACCAGAGCTTCCTCATCCTCACTAAGGACATGGTGAAATTATCATTAGCAGACCTTCCTCTTTCTTGATCTCTCCTTCCTCCCCCCCCCCATTGTCTGAATTTATACAGTCCTCAAGTTGTTTTTATACCTCACAGAAATCAAACTCACTGCCATGGAATTGATTTCAACTTCCATCAAGTTTCTGAAGCAGTAAATCTTAATGGGAA